ATCTTTGCTTGGAAATATTTTTAGACTCTATGGTAATATCAGATATTAAATTAAACATTATTAAAAATTAATATCTCTCTCCTTTTCGGCCTATAATATATATCACTAGTGAATGATACAATTAAAGAAATACTAGAAGGATATGCTGCTTCACTATATATCGTAAAGATAATATACATAAAATAAGCCCGCTTGAAATTCCAATTCATTTTAAATGACCAGTTCTTTTTTGAAACATTCTTATTTGAACTTAGAGGAATCGCTATTAGATCTGAACCAAAAAAGAAAAGAGAATGCAAAATGTCAAAAAGGCATTGAAAAAAAAAAACAATAGTGCGCCTTGAAACTAAAATAAATAATCTTAGAATATCTGACCATAATAATGTACAAAATATGGCTAGGTTAGGCCAAGCAAAGAAAATACTCTAATCTAATAACAGTGACAAAGGTCAAAGAGTAAGATCGAGGGCAAATTGGATTCAACACGGTAACAAGGGTGGCGCTAGCGCGCGGAGGGTGGAGGCTGTGGGCCAGTTGACCCTGTTATTAGGAACTCTCTTATTCTTACTCTCTGTGAATGATCTATCTAAAACATATTTAATTCTGTTCTAATGCTGAACTGAAATTATTTACTGACTGGTTCATCTCCAACAAACTTATTTAGCCTATAAACGCACAAAAAATACATATATAATTATTTCATACTAAACAAAGAAAAATTGACATTCGTAATCATGCAATTGAAATTTATGGTCGGATTATAGAGCGAAAAAAATCATACACTGTTTCTTGGCGTTTATAGTCAAGAACACTTAAGGTGACCCAATCACCATAATTATAGTTTTTTTTTTATATCAAAAGTGATTGGTATTGTTAGTAAATTAAGATATATATGTATTCCCATCAAAGATTCTTCTCATGTTATATAATAATCTTATACAACCTCACCTTTTTTATTGCAACTTAAAATGGACTGCTGACTATCCATCCAATTTAGCCAAGCTATACAAAGTAACTAAACGGGCCGTCCGAATTATTACATTTTCTCATTATCGTGCACCGTCTGGACCCATCTTTAAACGACTCAACATTCTTAATATTCATAATTTACATAAACTACCAATAATATCTTTCGTTTTCAATTTAAAAAAAAAATAAATACCTCTATTTAAAAAAAAAACAAGCAAAATTTCACATTATAATTTGTGTAGTCTCTTTTAATCTTATCAACTTGACATAAACTTAAAATTCTCAATATTCATAATTAATACATAAACTAGAAATAGTATCTTTCGTTTTCAATTTTTTAAATAAAAAATAATTACCTGTATTAAAAAAAAACCCAGCAAAATTTCACATTAAAATTTGCGTAGTCTCATTAAACCTTACCAACTTGACATACACTTAAAGTTTCAGAATTTGTTTTCCGTCTCAGGTCCACGATTATAGAATGGACGCAATGACCAGTTCAAAGCAGGAAAATCTATCATTACGTTTCAAACTAATTTTAACAAATATTTATTATTATCATATAGTGATTAAGACGATGTTACACTGCTGTGTTTTTTATTTATTTTATTTGTTGTTATATACTTTAACAGTGTCTTATATAACTGAAAAACCGCCTGAAGAATTTGTAAATTCGGCCAAAGATATCAGCACCTTTTAGCGGCATAGATTGATAACTTATTATGGAAAGATGTTCTTGTAGGATAGGGAGATTATAAAAAGGTCATATTCCTAACATTAATGTTTAACCGAACCACTTTTGTTCAATAATTGATTTAAGATCAAACACAAATATGTTGTTTTATGCAAACTGGAATAAGGTCCGTGAATAATCTGCTTGGTGAGAACTGTAATTTTTTAAGTTTTGAAAAATTTAAGCAAATATTAAACGTTCAATCAAATTGTATTCAATATAATGGAATGATTAATTGCTTTAAATTAAACCGACCGTTATTTTTGAGAACCTTTTTTCCTTTCACTTTAAAAGCTCTTTTTACTCAGAATAGAGGCTTTAGAAATATTATATGACGAAAGTATTAAACATAATAATGTGTTTTTAAACCTAGGCTGAAATTGTGTTGTAAATTTGATACTGAATGCTCAATTGACTTTTGAAGATTGGCATCGTATAAATTTCAAATCTACAACCGATACAACACTACAGTGGTTTCAATATAGATTGTTAAAATAGAATCTTAAGTACTAACTCCTTTCTGTACACGATTGGTGGTTCTAAAAATTATGCTTGTACTGCAAAAATGAAAGAGAAACCTAGATACATTTATTCTTTAATTGTAATGTTATTAGTTCCTTGTAGGAAATGTTACAAGTTGGATATACAGAAAGTTAAAAATTAGGATGCATTTAGACAGGTTAACTATAATATTTAGTTTTAGAAATAAATTGCTCTAGAAATAACATTTTTTTTTAAATTTTTACCAAATACTAGTTTGTAGTACAAACTCAAATATTTACGAACTTAAACAAGATTTTAATACTGGTATTACATATGTATAAAAATAAATGCTTTACTACTACCATGTCTTGTTGTTCTTTTTTTTTTGTATGTGTTTTTTTTTTTTTTTTTTTTTTGAATGAGCTGCAACGACAAGTTTTCTCAGTAAATTTTGTTTTTGTATGTATTGTACAACATACAACATATCTTTTTAGAAATAAAAAAAAAAGATGAAATCCTAAGATAATAGGCACATAATGAGCAACTGTGAAATTATTAACTGATAAAATGTCGGTAACATTAGATATCATATAATACTGGTATATACAATACCGTATATTATTGTGGAGAAGTGAGCTTAACTTTGCATCTTGTCCAGTCTTTGTCTTGTATTATTTACAGCAATCCAGTTTCTATTAAAATTCATTTGAGGGCCGTGGAAGAAGGTAGGCCTATACCAAAATACTGTCTCTGCGTCAGGGTAAAAAAGATGAATTTATTGAGATATAAACAATTGATCTCTGGTCATTTCTCTTCAATCCAGTTTTATCATTTTATTTCTTTATTTTTTTCAAAAATAATTTGGCGCAGTGATAAGGGTCTACGCTTCAGATAGATGGGCATGTAAGCCTATATTGTTATGTTAATACTGCTTTTATATTCCGGTTATTTTCAGTACGTGATGAAGTTTGCAGTTACAACTTTACTCATTCTAGCATACTTTGCTTCCCGTAAGCATTGGACTAATGGACCGTCATATTATGATTATACTGATTATAGTAAACCGGTCTTGACTGAGTACGACGGTACAGTAGTTAAATCTTTGTTTCAAAGTCTTCATTCAATACAAAGTTTTGGATGAAGTCTTCTCCATTTAAATTTCAATTTATTTCAATCACAAATAGCAGTAAAAAGACTTAAGCAATTTAAGGTGAGTGTAAAAGACGCCGGTAAAAATATACTAGAGCCCTGAAATTAGTAAAGTAACGTTGTATTTTGTTGTAGAATTTCTGTGGTTATGCGAAGTCAATTTGTTGTAGATCCAGGATTGCGAAAATTAGGGGGGGGGGGAACAGAGGGACTAAATAGAGGCAGACGCGCACTTTGGCTTGGTCTCTGTATTCGTATATAGACAGGTTCTCTGTTTTCGTATGCTTGGACCCTGTTTCCGTATGCTTGGCTTATTATACAACAAAAAAGTAGAAATCTACGAAATTATATTTTTTATATTTTTACTTATTTTTTAAAATTCAATTTCGTCTTATCTCTTCGGATGTTGGCAAGTGCTAGGCCAAGAACCTGATTATACACGACGCAACCGCATTTTCCCGTGGCCCGATGGACGCTAACAGAAACATAGACAGCAATTCGGCCTGTGAGTTAGAACGAAAGAAAAACACACTTAAGGCCCGACCGGGGGGTGGTTTTGGGAGACTTTTTTAGAATTAGTAGACTACTGGACGATCTTAGGTGGCATCTGAAAATAAGTAAACTTAAAATAGAAAGTGTATGTTTTATTAGAGTACCACGAGAAACACACAAGACGAGTGACCATTATTTTTTTTTTCACTCTAAACGAAGGGGCTAACCACCATATTCATCCCCTAGATCCGCCACTGAATTGCATCCAAGTAGCTTTCATATTTTTGGCACAACAAAATAAAAGATAACCTGTATCCCTATTTCCAATGCATTTCTCACACACCGTACTCGCACGAATAAGCGACCCGTTTGAATAAAGTGATTTTCTTTTTAGCAAGTCAATAATCCAATCAATCCTGGGACTGTGGTTGTTGGCATGATCTGAGCTGCAGAGTGGAATCACATTCTTCTTAGGTCAATATAAAAATGAGGATATTTTTCTTGGACATGAGAGCTCCAATTCCTGGACAGACAGTATATTTACTACTTTGCTCTTCTTACATATTTGTCTAGGCCTAGTCCTATACTCCTCTTTTTCTTTTCCCGACAATTTGCACCTTTAGCAAATTCCCATCCGAGTTTTCAAGAAAACCTACAATGATCCTGCTAATCTCAATCGGCCGATGGCCAACAAGCTAACCACTACCCACCAACACTAATTGCATCTGCTATTCTGCTGTAATAAGTAGGTCTAAATATTCGCAGCATTCTTGTCATGAGCCATGTTCTCTGGACGATTATCTTTTCCGTCGCACCACCATTCGTAATGTCCCTACATAATATTTTTTTCATTCAAAAAGTGCCTCTTGAATTTAATAAATCCCCATAAGAACCCCTCGATTTCCACTCTGTTTTCATAAGCGCCCCGTTTAAATAAGCGCCCCTCAGAAAGTGCAAAAAAATATTTTAAGCGCCCGGGCGCTTATTCGCGCGAGTACGGTACCTCGAAATCTTCTGCCTACCAGGGTAGAGCGCCGCCAGCGTTGCAGATATGCCAATGTAAACATTACATACGGTAGGCCTACGCGAATTATACTGTATTACACTGGTTTATGATTTTTATACTTTCCACATTTCTAATGTACTCAGTACTGTATAGTATGTCTTTTGCTTATTATAATCCTGTGACCAGAGTGTAAATAACTCAGTGGCTATTGTTACACCAGTCGTACTAATTCCTGTACCTGTAGGCTATTATTTTTATGTTAATGTGCCATACGTAACAGAAATGCATTGAAGATGGTAAGTCATTCTCAAGAATGCATTAATTTATTAAGTTTGGAAATACAAACCAGAATAAGTTAAAGATGTTGCGGCGTTTATTTTATAGGAAATATTTCTTGTTTAACGAATTTTCAGCTAACGCTCTCAAGTGCTATACATGCCACAGCTGTACAAGTTTTTCTGGCTGCGGAGAAGATGATTTTACCCCTTCTAAAGCCATTCAGACGACATGTGCAATAGGTAAAGTCTGTGGGGTACGTAAACACAGTGATAAATTCAAGCTTTGTTAACACTAAAAACTACAACATTGTAGACCAGCGGTCAGAAAACGTTTCGATGCATGAAAAATTAAGCGATGAGGCATGATTTTTAACCCATGGTAGAAGGTCGTTGTTAAATCCATGGTAAACACTAATAATAATTGTCTAACTAATCAATTAATATATGACTTAAGTATAATCAATTTTATTTAATTGCCTGGTGCAAGTTCTATCAAGGGCTAAATCGGGTTAAAATTATTTTTACTTATTCACAGGTAATATAAAAAATGGATAATAAATAGAATGCACACACACATTAACACATAGGCTTACATACACACATTATAGGCCTCACAACTAAATTTTCAGCAATTTATGGGCAGGCGGTTTGGTGGTGGAGGAAGGCGAGTGCACGGAGTAAAATTTTAGTTGTTCATAAGTTACAAATTAATTATTACCAATTGTACAACACATAAGATAATAATTGGAATATTAATGAAAATGAAAAAAGAAACGCGGAACATCCAAGAGTGACGAGCCCAAAAAAGCATAAGGCTTTGCTACATGGCCTAGCAAGAAGAAACCTTTCAAATACGATGCCTAACTACATAATAAACTACAAAATAATGTAGTTTGTTAAACATCATTACTTTACAGGGAAAAGATATATGCTTTTAAGGTAAAACAAGCAATTCGGTATTTATTACGTAACATTTTTAAATTTTCAGTCGTAAAATATTCCATCGCCTTAGAGTTGCATGATTTTATGTTTATTATAAAGCCAAGCATAAAATCTGTAAAACTATAGTAAATGAACCAAAATATTAAATATTCATTTAAAATATATTGAAATATCGCGATGTTAGGCCTAAATTATATAATACACAGATAAAAAAAAAGTAAAAATACTTAAATTTATTATTATCAGCTAATGACCTGACAGTTTTTTGTACAACGATAAATACGTATTTATAATATAAAGTAATTTTCAACTAAATAACCAGCTTATATTGTAAGAACGTTATAATAATGTTACATTTTGGTGTTGAAAACGTTATTTTGTAGAAACATAAATACGAAGTAGAAATTAATGACACAAGTATGTAACGTTCGACCGTTCCTGCAACATACGTGCGCGAAGATTGTAGGCCTAATAACGTCGTGTTCCCTTTGTTATGTCATGGATGGTTATGGTAAGATAATAACGTAATGTTTATGAACTGATTACCGAGAGATTTATTTATCATTCTAATTTCAAATAAAGCGAATACAGTATTTAAGTCAACTTATAAGTTTAATATAGCGGTTGGACTAGTATTATGCGTCCGATTACCGAGAACATTGTTTTACATATTGCAGTTTTAAAAAGCCAATGCAATTTTATTTTCAAATCTTTAAATCCATACACATAGAGAATGAACCCAAAATAAAAAAAAACAAAAAAAAACAAAAAAAAAAAAACCAAGTAAATTAAGCTACACATACACATAGTAGGTCTATAAAATAATTCCAACATATTTCGCCTCCATAATAAAATACAAATTAAGCAAATAAAAAGTTTTTTTTTTTACTCACACAGAGGAGAGTAAGTGTAAGTGTATCTTAAAATAGGTATATTTTATGGTTCATCCAGAAATAAAATTTTAATTTGAATTGAATACCGTACTGTTTTGTGACAGGCTCAAAAGCACAGTTGTGAATGTATTCTGTACACATCAGTGAGTCGGTCATGAAATGTTATTTAATTACAGAAAAACTATTACTACTGTGTTTTATTTAAATGTCACATCAACATAGGGTCATGGTTGTGTGTGTTGAATACTAATTTTGAGCTTCTGTTGCTTTCTTTCCAGAAAGGCGTTATTGGAGAGGTTGCCTTTCGTGGTTGCACTTCTATAAGAGAGGGACTGGCAAATAACGAGTGTCATGCTTCTGAAAAAGATTCCGCGGAGCTTTGCTATTGCTCAACTGATCTATGCAATAATGGACTCAGAAACAATCTTGGTCTTGTCTTAGCCTTCATTGCCATTTTGGGCGCCAAGTATCTGTAGACCCAGCAGCATATCTCATTATTACAATGTTCTTTGTGTCTTTTTAGAATACATATGTGATCTATGTTTGGTATGGTAGCGGAATTACAATACTTGTATAATAGGGCCTAATATAGGTTTTGCCACGCATGTTGAAACACGTTTGGCTTATAGAGCTATTCCATGCTTTCAGTTTATTGTTTTGTCTTTGTTGTACTTATAGTTATTTGTTGTTAAGAGTTGATTTTGCTGATTATTGTTCTTGTGTTTTATATGTAAACATAATACGGAAAAGATAAAGGGGTAGCATCGTATACCCCACCCCCACTCTGTCTCTGCTGCTTTCATTTTTTGGGTCCGCGCAACGCGCTGACCTCCAGAGCGTATACTGCTGTTCTTATTCTTGTTACCAGAACTTTAAAAGCGTCCAGCGTCGCCAGTTTGAACGGACGTGCAGGAAATTTTTGTACACATAAACTAGAGGTGATTTCCAACAAACGTTCATCGCCCTTTTTTGGGAGTTGGACACAAAGGTAACAAAACAGGGACTGTACATTACTGTCATTACTACTAACATGGCACTTTGCATGGATGGCGCGGTCAGTTAAGGATGTATTCTAAGGAATTTGAGCTTGTAAGTTCGAATCGCGTCTTGGTATTCAATTTGCTTTTTCCTATTTTAAGATTTTTTTTTTTTCAATAATAAGATATTTATTTTTATACAAATGAACATTCTACGTAGCCTTATATTTTTTGTACAAATAAACATTCTAATTATTTAAAAAAATTCTGTCTTTTAGCTCTTCCAAAAAAACCCAATAGGCCTATAATAACTTGCGCCTGCCGGTACCTCCACATACTTAAGCGTGGAGGAACGCGCGGACCGGTGAGCGGTCGCTCGTGGCGCGAAGGTAAAGCGGGGGAGGGCTCGATGATCAGTTGGGGGCGCTAATTCGCAAAATATGGTGATTTTTAACTACTTGACCGTGATTTTTTGGGTGGGGGGTGGGCGCGAGTAATTTTTTGGGGGGAGGAGGCGTGCGCCCCCGCGCCCTCCCCTAGATACGCCATTGTTTAAACTGATGTGCACTGAGAATACATGGATCAAAATCTTTAAATTCAGAGAACAGTTGGCCTAAGTATTATTATTTTATGAATTGTGAATATACATATAGGCTTACTAGAACATAGTTATCAACCGTCTCGCATCGTGCGGGACGGTCCCGCATTTCAAAGTGATTTTGGATAAAACACGCATTTTAGCTGAAACACATGCGTGATCACGCATTTGTCACGCATTCAGCACAGGTCTATGCGTGATAACGAATTTATCACAAATTTAGAGGAAAATGCAGTTAAAATTAGAAGAAATTGGTTTTATTTAAAATATAAAAACGGTCATGCAGTAAATTGAGTCATTAGACAGTATTTTCGTGAATATAGTACTTAATTCTTCACTGACGCGTTACTAAAATTGATCAGTAGGCTATGCCTATTCATTTTTGTTTGTTTTAGTAATAAAATGTTTGTGTACCTTTGGGTGCTAAAATTAAACGTAATGACATTGAAACTCAAATTGGACGTGGCATTATTAAAAATATTTTTGTTTATTTACCGTACCCGGTATTGATGAACAAACACTTCCTGATCGTCGGAGCGTCAGGGGCCCATGGAACCCACCGGGGCTCTCCGCCTCTGGATCCCGGTGGGCCCCTCCGGGCCATACCCTTCCCCAGCCAACTGGTGTAGTCACGCATTTTAAATCTCTCAAGTCTCAACTATGCAAGAAAAGTACGAAGTACTTTTATTAGTTTTATATTTATTCATTCAAAGTACATTATCTATTGACCAAATTAAACAACTGAATTTAAACAAAAGAACAAAATCAATTCAATTGAAACAAAGGTATAAATAGAAAGCAGTTTTGGTCGAGAGACTACATAGAAGCCTGAGTTGGCTTGTCTCTGTAATCCCTATTTAACAAAACTTAGAGCAAAACAATCAAAACATATCATAAACACAGCTAAAAAAAGGTAAACAGTCATTGTTGTACATATGTTTAAATTCTCATGATTAAGTTTTGCTTCACATTTGAGCAGAAATTGTTTAAATTTTGATTTGAAGTTACACAATGTGTAATACATTTGATTCGTTTACCAACTCATTCTATTGGTTTAGGTTCATTAAATATTATAAAAGAGTTAGTCTAAATTAGGGAGGTAATAAGTAACTTTTTTTACGGAGATTATATTCAATATCCTCTTTATTTCGAACATTCTCATCAAATAAACCGAGCATTCTAATGGGCAACTCTTTTTTCACTTGCTTGTACATAAAACACAGTATAGTTATCTTATTAACATTAAAAACATCAAGAATTTTAAGTTTAGGAACAATGGCCCAGCACTTTAAATTGTTTAAATTGTGATGAGGTAATTAATCGAGCGGCACAATTTTGATGTTTGAGGATAGTAAAGATTACTTTTGTAAGTACTTCCCCAAATAATGTTGTCATATTTTATATTAGGTAAGATCGTTGCTTTAAGTATTGAGGAAGTAAGACTTTGTTCGAACAAAACACCGATTGATTTAGAGATTTTCATGAAATATAGTTGATATGATTCTTCCAGCAAAGGCGTTCATTTAACACAATACCTAGGAACATAACATTATCCTTTCGTTCTACTAATGTATCATTGATTTCGAGTTTTACGAAAGTACTTTCAACTTTTTTTGCCTGGTCCAAAATATAACATTGGTCTAATTTGTCTTACTTATATTTAAGAGAAGTTTATTACATTTGAACCACTTGGTCAGTTTATTACCTAATTTATCATGCATAATTTCAGTAAATATTAATTTTTACCAACCTCTTTTTACATTCGACCCGTTTAACATTACATTTGGATTCAGGATGTATTAGTCTTTTGATATTAATCAAAGAGGAGTTGACAATATGAAATTCGGCACACTCGGATTTAGGATTAGCCTATTAGGTGTGCAACTGAAATTCGGCAAACTGGTTTCGGTAAATTGTCAGCAATTTGGTATTCGACAATGGCATTCGGTAAATTGGATGATTATTTCCTGATAAAACAAAGCTTGAATTCCCGCCGCCCATGAAAAACCCCAAAATGTAAGACCTAAAATAACTGCTTAATATTTAACTTTCTGCCTTTCAAAATTGTCAATAAAATGTGATGACTTGAAATAATAGAGTACGTACTCGAGTCATCTCTGTCAAACTGTGGCTTATGCACCACTTTAACTATTCATTTTCTTAAGCTTTCGTCTTCATCGGGCGATTGTAGGCCCTGGCATGGTACGTTAATGGTGAATGGCCAAATCAAATACGCCGAATTTGATTGTGCCGAATAAAAGTGCGTAAATGGTTTACTGCGCAGAATAAGTAATGACAAAAAAGTAGTACATGATGTTAAATGGGCCAGCAGATTACAGTAAATGAAATGTTCCGAATGAAATGCTATACCAGAATGCAAGAACGGCGTTCCATAAAGAACTGCTATTGTCTGTACAGCAGTACTCGCTGTGCTTAGCACGATGCAATGGAAAATAATATTAGGCCTACAAAGGTCGGACCTGGCTCTTCATTCGACAATAGAAATTGTCTCATCAAGCAAAACATCAACGATTATCGGATGTGCTTGTTTACATTCTACCAAATCATGTTGTTTATTAAAGCTACTGCTTTTAGTTCCGCCAGAGCTTTTCGTAAGAGCTTCTGGTACCTGAGCAACAGCAGCAGCGTCGTCTGTAAGCAGCTACAACGATCAACAATGTGTCGATCAGATCGAACGCTCGTAGGCCTGAGTTCAATCGGATTTGGAAGGGAGTCACCAAGGAGATTCGCTGTTCCATCCGTGAGTAAATTTCTGTGTCTATTTAGAATCTACACATTAACGGGCCTACATTGTTTGTCCTGTTGCTTTTATCAATTATTTGTGTCTATTACATTGAAATGTGAATTGACCGACTTTCCTTTGATAATTTTTTCATTCCTATATATATATATATATGATTG